AGGTATTTTGAGTTTAGGTAAAAGGAGGAGGACAGGCAGGAGGGAGGGTCCTCCACATAGACACTGAAGAAGCCTTACTTGACCTGAAGAGACCAACTGAGCCAAAAAGAAACTAACAAATACACAACATACAGTGAAGAAAGAGATGGGGAGCGATGATGATAAACACATGACCATGTACATCCAGTAACTGAAGCAGTTAAAGCTTAACAAACCTGAAGAAACTCCTAGCCTTAAACATGCTTTTTATCAGTGTCTGTTATGTTTACTTGAGTGCAGCTGAAAAGAAAAAAACAACTACTGTAAATGCGCACATACATGCATTCTTGTATGCATAGGATGGACTTGAATTTAAAGAAATAAATGAGGTGCTACTGTTTGCAATCCCATGACTTTACTCATCATGATCGATTTCCCAGCAGCATTTGCTCAATAAATGTCATAATGAAGTAAAAGAAATAATGTTTGTGTCTTGTCATTTTACATTCATGTATAAGGGTATGCTTTGCAAATGCATATACACACATATCAAACAATACATTAGTGTTCACATTAAGTTGTTGAATAGTTGAATGTATTGCTATTTTACAGTAAATGTTATGAAATAATAGCTTTAAGCGAAAATATTACAGCTTATAACTCCCTGTTATTTAATGTGGTCAACTAATTTAACTAATATAATAATACACTGGTATACAAAACATTTAAAATCAAAGTTACAAAGAGCTTTACAGGGTTGAACCAATAGTAAAACATGACAGTATGTCATCATGTCAACATGTCAAGTAAATTGGAAAAAACAAAAAATGGAATAGAATACCCAACAATAATATGAAAAATAACGATAAGTACAACCATGATAAAAGAGATAAGACATATATAATACTCTACTTCAATTTATTTTAACCACAAAATCTTACCAATCTGTGAGGAGACAGTTATTAATGAATATTAAAAAGTAACGTAAATTAATTAAAATTAAAAAATGCCTAATATATCTAACAGTTGTCTCTGGTCCTTCCCACAGATGTCCTATATCTCATTTTGTGATTTCACACTTACTAAGACAGGAAGGGGAAATATATTGGCCACATACACTCCCCTCCAAAAGTATTGGAACAGTGAGGCCAATTCTTTTATTTTTGCTGTAGACTGAAAACATTTGGGTTTGACATCAAAAGATGACCATGAGTCAAGAGATCAACATTTCAGCTTTTATTTCCAGGTTTTTACATCTGGATCTGATACACAACTTAGAAGATAGCATTATTTGTTACGTTTTTAGGTGAGCAAAAGTATTGGAACAGATAGACTTAAAATAGATTAAAGTGAATAAGACTTAATATTTAGTTGCAATTCCTTTGCTTAAAATAACTGCGTCAAGCCTGTGACCCATTGACATCACCAAACTTTTGCATTCTTCTTTTGTTATGCTTTTCCAGGCTTTCACTGCAGCCTCTGTCAGTTTTGTTTTTTTTTTTGGGGGGGGTTACTCCTTTCAGTCTCCTCTTTAGCAGGCAAAATGCATGCTCTATAGGTTTTAGGTCTGGAGATTGACTTTGCCAGTCTAAAACCTTCCACCTTCTTGTACCTAATGAACTCCTTTGTTGTTTTGGCAGTGTGTTTTGGGTTATTCTTGCTGCATGATGAAGGACCTCCCATCGTTTGGTTGCATCTTTCTTTAAATTGGCGACAAATGTTTCTGTACTCTGAGTTCTTTGTGCTGCCATCTGTGTTACATCATAATGAATATTAATGAGCCCGTGGAAGGTGGCCCAACCTGACATCTCCCTGTGTTCGATGGCTTGTTGTTTGGGTCGTGGATCCCTTCCAACTTTCCCCTTTGGTGGTTTCTTTGTCTTTCACTTTGTTCCAACTTGGCTTGTCTCTGCTTTTGAATCGCGGCCCCTTTTGCTAAGAGTGGTTTGCATCTTCTGGTGTAGCCTCTGTACTTTTGTTTCATGAAGTCTTCTGCGAACAGTAGATTGCGATACCTTCACTCCTGCCCTCTGGAGGTTGTTGCTGATGTCACGAACAGTTGTTTTGAGGTCTTTTTTTTTTTTTTTCACAGTTTCTGTCATCAACTGCTGCTGTTTTCCTTGGTCTACCCGTTGGACGTCTGTTACTTAGTACACCAGTGGTTTCTTTCTTCTTCAGGACATTCCAAATGGTTGCACTGGCTATGGCCAATGATCGTGCAATGGCTCTGGTTGATTTTCCATCTTCTATCAGCTTCACAATTGCTTGTTTTTCACCCATAGACAGCTCTCTGGTTTTCATGTTGGTTACACCTCTAACTATAAATGCACAGGCAAAACCCAAATCTGAAACTGAGCATAGACATTCAGCGCTATTTAGTGTTTGAATAATCAATGTAATAGGACACACCTGGAAAACAAAACACACCTGTCAATCACATATTCCAATACTTTCGCTCACATGAAAAATGCATGGGTTCAAACATAAGGTGCTATCCTCTAAGTTATGTATCAGATCCAGATGTAAATACCTGGAAATAAAAGCTGAAATGTTGATCTCTTGTCTTATGTTCATCTTTTGATGTCAAACCCAAATATTTTCAGTCTACAGCAAAAATAAAAAGAATTGGCTCCACTGTTCCAATACTTTTGGAGGGGAGTGTAAATGTATCTTGTATCGAGATTTATGATTAATATTCAGACAATATAGAAATCATTTAATTGTCAAAAGCAGCTCTCACATATTGACAATTTTGCCAATAATGTTATCTGTAAAACATGTAGCTTATCTAATCTAATTAAACAAGTCATTTGATTTCCTTTAAATTAATTCTATTAATCATTTTCATGACATGTTTAGTGGATATTTAATTTAGGAGAAACAGTGCAATAAGGTTTGACTGACCACATGAAAGGATGATTTATTTCTTGACTAATCGGTTAACACATTGCAGAGAGATATGTCTTACGTTTAATATTCGACTGATGTGCTGCTGAACTAGTTTGGCGAGAGGTTTTAAATATGAGGCTTTGTTCAGTGTCTTGTCGACAGCAGCATAAACCCAGAGAAGTGATGGCAGATGTTACCACTGAGAGGCTGTGTGCAAAGAAATAGCACTGCATCAGAGTCTAAAGATTTTTATAATTACTTTTTTAAACCTGCTACCAGGGAGGTATGCTCCATCCGGCTGCTGCAGACTCTCCACAGTTAATGTTCACCCACGGGAGTAAAACAACAGAGCAGCTGCTGGGTGACGCCAGGTATCAAGAGGATAATGTGCATCACTGATGGCTTCTTATCATATTAGTAAAGATTACACATGTTGTACTTCTGAAACTGAATGTAAACTACTAAAAGTAGTAATTTGGCGCAATTGCAAAAACAATATTGTGGGTAATCCTGTATCATGTAATTAATTTCAATGGGTGCCAGATTACATTACATTTCACATGTAAATGGGACAATTACACTCCTTCACACTGGAGTAATCATTATCATCATCATTTCTCTTAGTTTGTCAGTAAAAGCACTAAATTACAGCTAATTGCTTACTTCAGCTGGTAATCTGCCACTTTGTCTCAGTTTAGACACATTACAACCTGAACAAAAGGTGTGGGAGCTTGGCTTGATGGTATTCAAAAGAAGAGCAGCACACCTGGATGTTCTGCCTTTCCTCCATGTTACTCTCAAAGTGAGACTATAACTTATATGTTACATATCTTATATATCTATTACATATTTAAGAATGAATAAAATACTATTCTTTATCTTATGAGTGAAAAGTTAATCAAAATACATAAACAGGAAAACACATTTTCTATGTTTGTTATACAGGATTTAGCTGCTTGGTCTTGTATGACCAGTAGCTTCTGGTGGATAATGCTAATATTAATATTAGCTTAGACAAAGTTTGTACTGTAACTGATGTTACTGAGTAATTTCATTGACTCCATGACTCTTCTCTAAACTGTTACACTATGTTTTAACAGTTCAGCACAAGATAAATATGCTTACTTTAATATTGGCAGCAGTAAAACCCTTGTGTGTATTAAAATGAGTAAGGGTGTGTTTGATTGCTTATCAACTTTTAATTTCTTCAAAGGGACGGGTGCATGTTCTAAATAATAATAAGTTAGTTATTGTTTGGCCCACTTACCAACACAGTCAGCAGTTTCTGTAGCAGTTGTGACACAGCTTATTGAGGCCATTAAGGTACTTAGAACCCTTAGCACCAAATGCTGCAGTTTATGCCAAAAATGGCATTCCTTCCTCTCTGAGTCAGTAAAGTCTGAGCACATGTATCGTTTACATGATCCATATAACTCTGTTTTTTCTACTGCGAATAAACAGCCATGAATGCTTAGAAATTATAGAAAGAAGATGCTAAAGAACTTAACAATCCTCATGTAATAAAAGTAATCCAGTGACAGCTGTGTGTACATCCAAAGGTAGATTGCAAACAGGAACTGCTAATAGCTAATTCGTCATATTTTAATGGTGCCAATTTGTAAAAATGTAAACAAATATATCGGTAGGCTAAAAAAACAAGCTAAAGTTTTACCAAATTAATTGAATAACTGGCAAAATTATACCTCCTGTTTACATCCACAGAAGCATTATGGAAATTCCAAAACCTAGAGCATGATGCAACTTTTTAGTGTTTCCTTATCAATATTTATTTGACATTAAAATAGAGGGGAGGGGAGGGGTTGTCTCAAATTTTGTCTGACAAAGCCTGACACTGTGTACCACCCTCCCCCTTGCCCCCAACAGTGCCAGACTTTGAAAACCCCAAAAAGTATGATTGCAACAGGAAGGTCACTGTTTATAATCACCAGACTGACTGGGAAACATGGAATTAGTGAATAACACATTTCTCAACCAGCACCGACGAGGTGATTATAGAACAACAGCGTTTACAGGCGCTTATGCTGTAAATCTGCGTCCTTCATCTGGTCAGGTGTTAGAAGATACATAAGGAATTGTTAATGTTTTACCAACGTCAAAATCAACGACACACGTGGCTTTAAGAGGTGTTTATTTAACCACCAAAAACTCACACACTCACATTCAGCAATTACACATAATAGACTCATCAGGAAGCGTGCAACCAGACCTTTATTGACTACTCTGGAAGCAAGCAGTTAGCCTTGATTTGTTGCTGTAACTGGCTATTGGACTGTTTTACTGAGCACCATGTTAACAAGCAGATTTGAGAGAGTAGCGTAGATGCCTCTTCTGGTTAGTTTGCTGAGGCTGCTGGCTTACTTTTTATCCTTTGTGCTCTTTTCTTCGGCAGCTTCGGGTTTGGCTGATTTTGCTTCCTCTTTCTCCTTTTTGGTGTCAGCTTTATCATCTGGTTTCGGAGCAGCTTTGTCATCTTTTTCGTCAACTTTGTCGTCTTTGTCGTCAGCTTTCTCGTCAGCTTTGTCATCTTTGTCGTCAGCTTTGTCATCTTTGTCGTCAGCTTTGTCGTCTTTGTCGTCAGCTTTGTCGTCTTTCTTGGTGTCTGCTTTATCTTCTTTCTCTTCGCTTTTCTTTTCTTCCTCCTTCTCCTCTTTCTCTTCTTCTTTTGCATCCTCACCTTTGTCGTCGGCTCCTTCTGTTTTTACCTCCTCTTGTGCTTCTTCTTTAACCTCAGTCACCTCTCCTTCTTCTTTGTCTTCTCCTTTGTCGTCTTTCTCACCCTCCTCCTCTTCAGCGGCCTCTGTCACCTCCTCCTTTTGCTCCTTCTCATCACCACCTGTATCAATAGATGGGAATTTCATTATTATTTATCATCATCACCTTAATAATTGATGTTTAATTGAGCAAATACAGAATATAATCAAAAACTCCACTAACCCTCTTCTCCCTCCTTAACTTCTTCATCTCCTTCCTTAGCCTCCTCTTCGTCTTCTTTCTCTTTATCTCCCTCCTCCTCTCCTTCCTCTTCCTCCCCTTTTTCCTCTTCCTCTTTTGTCTCCTCTGTCTCCTCTCCTCCCTCTTCTTCCTTCTCCTCCTCCTGTTCCTCCTTTACCTCCTCCTCCTCCTCCTCGTCGCCGGGTGGGCTGGCCTCTGCTCGCTGGGCGTGGCTGGCAGAGATGATCCCCTCGGTGGTGCTGACGCTGGAGCTAAGCAGGCGGGATGTCATCATGTAGGAGGTGCCGGAGCTCAGGCTGGAGAACACTGGCCGGGCATAGGATGGTGCTGAAAAACTGTGGCTGTACAAAGAGGACACGCCCCCAGCCACTCCCCCACTGAAGCGAGACTCCTCCCCTTCCAGCAGCTTCCTATACAGGTTGGTCAAAAGTTGGTCAGTTAGTGGCCATTAATTAGCAGACAACACCTCAGTGTCTGATATAAAGTGAAGAATGTGACACTTATTTATCCTAATGGATCTCTGATTATAGCTTTTTCCCAGAATGTGTTTACAAACATACATTTTCTTTTCTATCCTATCCTGAGAGCCATTTTGCTAAAGCACTCTGACTTGAATGTCCCCGTCACTTAAATGTTACCAGATATTTCCACCTTAAGTTACCTTGTGAATAACCTCTAAAACTAAAACTCTGTCTCAGTTTCCCTACCAGTAGGTATTCATGCATCACTTGGGCTAAAATTAACACTATCAGACATTTGATCTATTTGATTCTTTTTGTTTTAGAAATCCAGTACGATTTCTCAGGCTCACTGTCATTGCTTCTCACCTGTATGCAGCAATCTCGATGTCCAGAGCCATCTTGACATTTAGAAGGTCCTGGTACTCTTTCAGGTAGCGTGCCATTTCCTGTTTGGTGCCCCTCAGCTCACCCTCCAACTCTGCAATGGTGTCCTAAAAAGAAGACAAAGTCAAGTTTTTTTTCTCAAGGACAGAATGAAATGAAGAGATTTCCAAAAATATGCCCCCACAAAAAATTCTGAATTATTAATAACACATCATAATACAATACACTTGCAACCACTCCTGACCTGCATAGCAGCTATCTCAGCACTCTGCTTTTCCTCCATCTCATGCAGCTGTTTCTCCAGGGATTCATTGAGGCCTCTGCATGCATCGATCTCCAACAAGCGGGTTTGGAGCTGGCGTCGGTACTCTCCTGCTTCGTCCTTGGAGCTTTTCATGGCGTCGGTGTGATGGGCAACGGTCTCAGTCATGGATCCCACCTTCCCTCTGAACCACTCCTCTGCTGCCTGCATGTTTCTTGCTGCCAGCCTTTCATACTGGGACCGGATGTCCCTGAGAGCCCCAGAGAGGTCTGGTGTTGCGGCCTCAGACTCTACTGCCACCTGGACACCCAGCTGCACCTGGGCCTGAAGCTCAGCCACCTCCCCATCATGAATCCTCTTGAGGAAGGCCAGCTCCTCCAGCAGAGTTTCGATGCTCTTCTCCAGCTCAGCCTTAGCTAAAGCAGCCTGGTCGGCCTCACGGCGGGCCTCCATCAGCCTGCCCTCAGCCTCTTCACGAGCCAGCACTTCCTCCTCATATCGACCCTGCAGGGCACTCAGGGTTTGCTCAAGCCGCTCTCTCTGTCCTAGGACTGCCTGCTGTTCTGCCCTGGCCTCATCCACAGCGGCTCTCAGGGACCGGGCCTCTTGCTCATACAGTGCTCTCAGGCGGGATGGCTCAGCGTGCTTCTGCCTCAGCAGCAGTAGCTCTGCCTCTAGAGCACGGTTCTGCTGCTCCAACTCACGCACTCTCTCAATGAAGCCAGCAAAGCGATCGTTGAGGTCCTGCAGCTGGCTGCGCTCTTGGGTGCGAACAGTGCGGAATTCAGAGCTGATCTGGGCTGCCTGGCTGAGCTCCAGCTCCAGGGAAGAGGCTTGTGAGGAGGAGGAGAGCAGCACCCGGCCGGGAGAGGAGTACTGTAGACGGGAGGAGGACAGCGGGGAAGCATGGGAGGAGTAGACAGAGTGGGTCCTCCCTCTGGTCACAACACGAGGGGGGGCTTCGACATACCAGCGTCTGTATGACGTGGTGGAGTAGTAGGGGTCATATCCGATGCTACTCATGGTCGAGTGGTGGGAGGACAGGCTGCTCTCCCTCTCCTCTTTGTGTATGTGTGTGTGTAGAGGTGTGTGCAGGGCTCAGGTTGAAGCCTCGACTGCTTGCTGCTGCAGCAGCCTGCGCTTTTATAGCAGGACAGTGAGCTCTGACGCAAGCGCTTTCCCCAAACTCTGACAATGCAGGCTCGATAGGCTTACACTGCAACAGCAAGAGATGAGACAGAGAGGGACCATGGGAATCGGTGTAGGAGGGAAAAAAGTGAGGGTTAATGATTGAGAGAAGAAAAGACAGGAGAGGAGAGGTCACAAAATGACTGAATTTAAGGATACATATTTCTGTTTGTCTGTTTGTTCTTTGACATTGACAGTTCAACCAAGACAAGTTTCTAAATAACATCACTTGTAATAAAACAGATGAATCACAGCGTGCTTCATGGTGCAACTAAAACATAAATGCAAACAAAAGAAGAAACAGAGCACATCACTATTCTTAACATTGAACCTCGACCTGGACTTTGACAGCAATACTGAAAACGACTATGAGGAGTTCAATACATAATGTAGAGTAAAAACATGGCTAAAACATAGATATACTATGCGCTATCAACACTGCAGGAGAGAGAGAGGGGAGGGTGGGGGTGGGGTGTCCTGATTTAACAATCGTGACACAGCATCTCTCCTTCAGGTGGAGAGGAGAACTACAGCCACGACCTTAAAAGACCTGCAGTGATAAAATCTCACCCATACGGAAGGTAAGAGGTACATGAGATTGGTTAATTAGTACTTACTAATTAGTAGTGTACATGCACATGACAAAAGACATTTAGAGTAATAAATAAGGCATATAAGGTTGTCCTTGTGATTTGACATGGGAAAAAGTAAATGTTATGATCATCAAAACATAACCACTTCACATTATACCTTTATAAGAAAAAGAGATATTCTTCATTTTTGAAAGTATTATTATTTTTTTAAATCAGTGATAAAAAAGCCTTTTTTGCCTTCTGTCAGGTTGTTCTTACAATTCTATAAAAGACAAGCAGTCCCTCTCATCTGCAGCACATACCCTGGCAGGTCAATTACACCTAGCTGCTGACATGCATTTTCTTTTTTTGTGTGACTGACTGAGTGTGTGTGTGTGTGTGTGTGTGTGTGTGTGTGTGTGTGTGTGTGTGTGTGTGTGTGTGTGTATCTGCAGGTATGCAGTAGCTTGGTGAAATGTTGGGAAACTCACCTTGCTTTCGAGCTCCGTGCATAAATGAAATGTGTCGCTGTGTTTTACAGCCAAATGCGTCTGTTTGTGTGTGTGTCGCTATTTTCCTTTTTTCCTCCGTGTATATGTGTATGATCCATAGTTTGAACGCCCCAGTAATTTGCTTATGCAGCAAAGGCCCCCAGCACTCACAGACAGTGCTGTGCCCAAACAGAAGTAAGGCAGGCAGCGAGAGGTGGGGGACTTCACTGGGAGCTGCATGGACTCTGCTGCAGGCTGAGTCATCGCTACAGTAGTGATCACACATACTCCCCTGTGTACTCTCTTTCCCACCTGAACAGCAGTCTGACAATCTGCACCAGGGCCATTTTTTGGCAGACACGATGCTTAAAGGACCTGGGGAAAGGAAAGAGAGAAAGGAGACCATTAACTTCTCTTCCCAAATGAATGCAGTCACTTACAGTGCTAATTTCTAGGGTTGTTGCTTGTTAATTAAGAATAATTATGTGGTGGCTGTTACCTGTACAGGATCAATGATTCACTGGGATTAGCTCATGCTTGGTGGCAATCCTGTGAAGTTAAATAGTTTGCTCTATGAGTCGTATTTGTCAACACTTTAAAGGCACACTAATACATTTTTTTACCACTAGGGGGCAGACAAACATGTAAAAACAAGCCGAATGTTACACAGCTACCACCATAAATAATATTGCCTGCTTTATAATTGACAATTTATGGTAAATAATTAAAGCTAATTTTGCTATATATATATAAAATTCACTTCAATTCTGTTTTTCTTTATTGTCAGATTTTTATTTCAAACTCATAACAAAACATGACAGCCAGACTGCAAAACAAACGCCACAAACATACTGTATCACACATTATGAATAAGCAGCTGCAGTGCAATCAGATGCCCTCGAACCCAGTGCAACATGACATCCGGCCTTCTGAGAACCCAAACTCTGATTTAAGTTCAGTTTGACAGAGTGATATTATGTTCTGCCTCTGCAAAAGGATCGTATGGAAAACTAATAGCATATATTATCAGAGTTCACCAACACGGGTAGAAACAGTAATGGCTGGTCTCTCTCTGTCTCTCTCTCTTTAATGCACAAATTAAAAACTTGAATGTAATGAGAACATTGTAAAGCCTTTTTTGCCAGCCAATAAATACGACTCAAATTTTTCCTTCAATCTCCACCAGCTTCCGAAGAAAATAGCCTACTTTATAACTTACCTACCAAGTATTTGTGACAGTTAGCATACAGCTGATTCGTCTGTTTGGCTAAAGCATGCTAAGAAATGCAGACTAGGTGTAAATTCTCCATTATTTAGAGACTGAAAACCATGTTTTCACATTCATTTTGTTAACGTCAATCCACCATAGAACCGAAGAGACACGGCTCATCCAAAGTTATCCTTGTTACTATCTACTTTGACCAATACAGTAACCTAACCCTTTTTCAAGATCCCACGATTGGCGTCCTGCCTGTGGTTCCATTAATATTATATTTTTGGACTATTGTATTTCTCTCTCTTTTTCTATATACAGATCATAATTTGATTGGAAGTGGCAGGAGGTGTTGACTTGGCACTGGGGCTTAGTTTCCAAGCTTCATCAGCACTTTTATGTCTGTCCCGAGTGCATCTTTGCTTCCCAACATTAAATTACATGAAGGATACTGCAGAATATTTGTCTTCGATTATTTGTCTCAGTGGCACATAATATTTCCAGCAGGCTGAAACAATAGGCATTTCTGACCTCAAGACACAGAATGACTTGAATTATTAAATATAATAAAAGTATGTTATACTGACACCGGGCCATTTCCTTGCACAGAGCAGACTTTGATCTTTTGGTTTGCAGCCAGGCCCATGCTTGAAGAGACTTGCTAAGGATAATAACATCGTATTTATAAGTACACCTAACAGTTTCTTAGTAAAATGTAACACCTTTGAGATAAAATGCCAGGCTTCCACAGTCTTACTTGATACAGTGTAACATGTAGCATGTGAAAAACTATTTCTGTAAGTGATACTAGAGCAACTCCTAGAGGTGATGGACAGAAATAACACTTTATCAACTCCATTGCCTGTTAAAGATTTTAAATAGAGATTTTATGATGTTTTTTCAGCACGTTGTTCAAGATCTTTGGGGAGGCTATATGAACTTTAAATTATTTTAAGAGATAAACTTTTGTACACTCCTTTTATGCCTTTTACTGTTTCTGCTTTCATCAAGTTCTCTCAAGAGCTCATGTATTATTACATATATACAAAGAGTAGCTTGGAACAATAATGTTTTAAATCCTTAAAAAGGCATCTATTCCTTCTACAATTAAAAATGTCAAAATCTATGAATATGCAAAGTTTTCCTGCCTGGCACAAGATGCACTGGTGTCTTTAAGTTTATACATCACACTTTTATAAGTTGCATACTGGATTGACTTCCAAACTATTTGTGATGGCAGAAATCATACTCCTAATAATCATCATAGGCCTGCCCCTTAAAAATCAGATTTTCAGTAAATAGCAGATGAATGTAAAAACGTATTTCTAGTGTCAAACTGTGCACATACATCATTCTGCACAGTGAAACTCAAACATCCAACTGTAGGAACAAGAAGAAAACTTTATTTTTTAAAACTATATTAATGATCATTCTTAGTAGTAAGAGTAGTAGTAGAAGTAGCTGCATCTACATGTACACAGTAGAGAAAGCACATAGCCTACTGTAAGTGGATACTGTATACGACTGTTAAATCAGCTGTGTTTTGGCAACATGTTACCCATGGATCTCCCCCAACCTCAGAGTTTAAACTGAGCGAACCTGTATGAGCCAGACTGTCATTGTTATACACACAACAAATGCCCAAATATTTACTAAACATATGAAATCTTCACAGTGTAATGAGGTGCAGTTTCTCTCTCAGTGATGAAACTGTTCATCACAGAGTGAGACACCCCAGCCAACTCTGATCTTTACACTTTTGTTCCACAGATCTCAGTTTAAAAGTCATGTTGCTATTTTGGCCTAATATCTGACCTCTGCCCTTCCCAGCCACCACATGTCCCTCCAGCCCAGCAGTGGTCTGGTTCTATTGGCTGGGCTTGTATGTCCATCAGTGCATGCATGCCTCTCACAGGTGGAAAGTGAAGGAGGCCTGTCTGCTCTGCACTGGCGGCTATAAAAAGAGTGTGGTATGCTAGCTGCGGCTCACTGTTGGTCAGCCAGTGTGTGTGCACAACTTAGAAGGGCTGAGGGCACTGTGCTTGGTTTAAGGCAAACTCAGGAGACACACTGCAAGCATGGCTGCTGCACATCGTTTGGTTATCGTCCGCCACGGTGAGAGCGCCTGGAACCAAGAGAACCGCTTCTGTGGCTGGTTCGATGCTGACCTCAGTGAGAAGGGTGTGGAGGAGGCCAAGCGTGGAGCCCAGGCTATCAAGGATGCAGGCCTCAAGTTTGATGTGTGCTACACCTCCGTGCTGAAGCGCGCGATCAAGACCCTGTGGACCATCATGGAAGGCACAGACCAGATGTGGCTGCCTGTAATTCGTACCTGGCGCCTGAATGAGCGTCACTACGGAGGCCTCACTGGTCTCAACAAAGCCGAGACGGCTGAAAAGCACGGTGAGGAGCAGGTGAAGATCTGGCGCCGCTCCTTTGACATCCCACCTCCACCCATGGACAAGGACCACCCTTACAACAAAATCATCAGTGAGGTGAGTGCTCCAATGTTTGCTGAACAGTCTTGTCAGTGAGTTTAGTCACTTCTGTTTATTGTTGTGGGAGTAAACAACCTTCTACTGTTCCGGCTACCTCCAGTCCCGGCGCTACAAGAATCTGAAGCCCGGTGAGCTCCCCACATGTGAGTCACTGAAGGACACCATTGCCCGTGCCCTGCCTTTCTGGAATGATGTCATTGCCCCTGAAATCAAGGCG